CTCTCTACAATGAAGGGATTTCAACTTTGTAAATGGAGAAGCTCCTACATGAATTTTAAGATTGCTTCAGATTCTTTCAAATGAGAGTCTTGGTTCAGAGTGATCTGAGCCTCTGGCCAGATTTCAGGTCTTTTCCCCTGTCATTCTCACAGGCTCTGCCCCCATCCATGAATCTCTAATGATAAGGTGCTACCTGTTCCTGCTTTGTCCTCACCTACCCTCCATACACCACATTGCAAAGCAGGAGGATGGTCTTTTTGTGTCACCATGTACTGAAATACCTGGGAAAGCCAGGGAAGAATAGGGGGTTGATGTCAGGATAGTCTCCTCTCCAGGTTTCTGTCTTCAGAGAAACGAAGTCTAAAAGTTGGAAAAAAGTAAAAATGATACATGACCTTCACTGTTAAACCTGCCTAAGGGACATTGACTTTCTGCTCAATTGCTGCTACTCTTAAAAAATATTTATTTATTTTTATTTACGGGTATGTGGGGGGGGGTATGAATGCTACATGTGTGCAGGTGCCTGGAGATACCAGAAGAGGGTATTGGATCCCCTGGAAATGGAGTTGCAGGTGACTGTGAGCTGCCCATTGTGAGAACCAAACCTAAGACTTCTGGAAGAGCAGGAAGCAGTCTTAACCCCTGAGCCATGTCTACAGCCCCCCTAGTGACTCTTCATTCAATACCTTCCAAGACTTAACTACTAAGTCTTAAAGACCATTAAGACAAGAGAGGCTTTATCTAATAGCAATATGGATGATTTTTGTCCTATGTAGATAAACATGATTGCTCTTTCGTATATTCTAAATCCCTAAAAGTCACAGTTTCATTGCCCTGAAGAGAAGCAACCAGTTGTAGATCTAATTTAGAGTCTTATTCTACAATTGTTTTATTTTACCAGAGGTGTACCTATTTCTCTAATTTATTTATTTTTTCTCTTTAAGAAAATAAAACAGGAACTGATTATACATTTGTCTGGGAATTAAGCATCTAACTTTTGAAAAATTTTTGGCAGTCTTCCTCACCCCCATTTTTGGCTTCCTTTGGACTCTCAAAAATGCAGCTCTGGGCTGGAGAGCTGGCTCGGTGGTTAAAAGCACTGGCTGCTCTTGAGGAGGACCTGGGTTCAGTCCCCAGCATTCCCATGGCAGCTAACAACCATCCATAACTCCAGTTCCAGGGGATCTGACACCCTTTCCTGGCCTCCGAGGGTAATGCACAACATGGGTGCACTTATATACATGAAGGCAAAACACTCATATACATAAAATAAAAATAAATCACTTTTTAAAAATTCAGCTCTAAGTCATGTATGGAGCCAGACTCCTGTAATCCCAGCATTCAGGAAGTGAAGGGGAGGATTAGGAGTTCAAGGTCAGTGTGGGCTAACATACGAAATTCCGCTATCAAAACAAACAGATCAGTAGAAGTGGGTGGCTCTTCCTCTGGGCTGCCATAGGAGGATAACCATTGTTTGGAAAGAAGAGTCAGTCAATCTCAGAATTATAGATAATAACAAAGTCTGGACATTAAGACACCCAGTAGTAAAGGAGAGACCTATGGCACATTGTGCAGTCAGTAAAGACTCCCACAGCAACATGGGAAACGCTGACTACCGTGGACAGTGGAATGGACCGTGTTGAACAAACGTTAGCGCCTCTCTTAGGAGGGGCTATCTGTCATTTTCTTGATTTTCTTTTCAAATTGTACTTCACATGGTTTTGTACTTTCAATAAAAAAAAATGTAAAGACAAGAAAATTTAAATTTTGAGGATGCCATCTCTTCTGTAGACTGGGAGCTCTGACATCACTCTCCGTTCTAGATGCTTCATAGCTGCAACAAGGAAAAGCCAGGTCCTGTGACACTGGATGGGTAGACTTGGGGACTGTGGTTTCCAAATGCTTGTGAGGACATAGGGGACCTCAACTCTCAGAACCAGGTACAAGAATGTTAGCATTGCTGTGCAAAGGCACCTGGGCAGGATCTCGGGTCCCCTTAAGGGACTACCCCTGACCTCATGGCCCTGTGCCTGTCACCAAACATTTTACCCAACTTACCAAATTCATCTTTGGGCCAGAATGCTAAATATACAGTCGCCAAACCCCTCACTGGGACTCTGGGCTCACACCC